TTAACGAGGACCAATACCGCACACCCTCGGTCCCTACGCAGACTGATCCAAGTGGTCACCCACCCGCACACTGACCGCAGCCAGTGATGCTTGACTTCAGTGATCTTCTGGGAACCGTGTCTTAACGATCAGTCCACTGCGGGACGAAATCGTAATTCTGTAAAAAGGAGAAACAAGCTTTTGAAACCGAAAGTAATAACCAGTCTTTAACTTTTTAATTTCTGAATTTGTCCTGAAACTAGAAATCAATGATGCTATTGCATAAAATCGCTTATTTTTTATACAAACTAGTTCTTTAATGTAATTAATAAAACTATAAAGTTATAAAAATTTGACGAGACACACCATCACTTTACGTTTAATGGGAAACGCCATATTAAAAATTCAGTTAAAGACAACGTTATGAACGCCGAGAAGGAGGGGTTGATGGTCGACGTCATGATCTGCGTCACCACTAACGCTGTCTATAGGGGGTAGGGCTCTGGAAAATATGGTCCCAAAAGTTTGGTCAAGAGAGCGGTACAAAATTTGGACCCGTAAGTGTTAATTTTACTTTCTGCGTACTTCACCATATATCGAGATCTTTTTAAGCGAATTAAATTTTCTTTGCATACATTTATGAAATACGTTAATCCAAAGATAATTCCAAGTAAAAAAAATCTTTTAGGAAGTATTACATTTTTTAAATTATTTTATTTAATAATAGTCGAAAAAATTTTGTGTTGTATGGTATACAATATTTTTACCTCAATCTAAAGAATGTAATTTTCCATTAAAAAAAAAAAATAAAATGCAAAATTTGAGCAAAATCGGTCGAAGAGTTTTTGAGAAATTGAATTTTAAGAACATGATGTTTTTGAAATTCGATTTTTCAGGAACTATTCGACCGATTTTCATATCAAATTTTGTATTTTGTTATGTAATTTATGTTTTGATGATTATGACGTTGAGGCACAAAAATCAATCAAGAGGCCAAACACATTCACAATTAAATAAAATTAAGATAATTGTAGCGACATGCATAACAATAATAATCGTAACAATAACATTTAAATCCGTATCTTCCACCTACTATGTTATTTCTCCCGTTTTAGAAAATATTTGGTAAACGGTATTGTACTAATGTTTTAGTAAATTAGAATTAAAAGAACTTTGTGTACCACTACATATAAATAATTCAAATAGTTATACAAAAGGTCAGATAGACAAATTGTAATGTTTTCAAGTTTTGACTAAAAATCTACAAAAATTTTGTCTTTTCAAAATTTCTACTTTCGTTCACTACCGTTGGAGGAAAAAAAAATCGCTCAAAATTAAATTTTTTGGTAATTTGTAAATCACAAAAT